ATGGGCATTCAGCATAGTTGTTAGAGACTCCTAGACTACACTGAGAAAATAAATGCATACGTGGTTGCTAAGTTTACTTGATACAAACAATAGATGTCATGCATGCAAAGCACATGAGGCATGGGAGGAGCAAAGCTGAATAATTCATTTCACCTTCTTTTTCTCATGAATCTTGCTAAAACAACACACTACTCACTGTTTACACAGTTTTCCTCTACATTCATTGCAATCTTAGCAAAGTAAAGTGCAATCCCTCTTACCTCTCTAAAGTATACATCATGTTCACAAAGATAACAGCATCTGACCTGACACAGATTAAGTGGCAATTTAAAATTACTAATGTTATTTTACAAAACAGCAGAGAATAAAACCAACCATTCACAAAACAAACTTCTCCTTCCCATTGACATATTACCTGGTAAGTGAAGTACTTCACATAATTATTTCTTATTTATAATATAATGAAAATGATCATATTCCCTTGCCTTGCTACTTGTCTGTGCAATATGTTCAAAAATATTGGAGGTGAAATTCAGCATTTCCTATACATTGTTTTCAACGCCTGGGAAATACCCCGGCCAAAAATCTCCCTTTGGACTTTCAGCAGAAGTGTTACCTCCTCCAGAAAAACATCTTTGGTTCATACAATTTGACATTTCTCCTCTCCTTTGAAGCCATCACCCCTGCTATTTTACACTACAATTTTTTTTCATGACTTCACTACCTTTCTCTCTGAATTCTGTGTGCTTGCCAGCAATGCCTCTATTGCTTATCTATCTCTAAGACAGTCCAATGTCTAACTTAAAAGTTGAGCTGAAGATAGTTAAATAAATAAAATATGACAGGAAAATGAATTATTGGTTAGCTAAAAATAAAGACATTGATCTGATATTTAAGATCTTCTCATTCTAACATTCTATTTTATTATTTTAATATAGAAAAACAATCAAAATAACAGCTTAAATAACTACAAAATTTTTGTATTTGATTATAAAGCATTCTTACATACTGGCCTCATATTATTAAATGTGTCTTGTGGGGCTTTGGGGGAAGCAGAGCTTAATATTATTTTGCTAAATACGTGTGTCAAAGTTCTATTAAATATTTGTGTATTTCTATTGGCAAGTGTTACCTTCAACCTTGTTCAGAATTCATCTTTTGCACTGAATGGAAAAGAATGAACAGATTCATAGCTACTAAAGGTTCTGAGACATCCCTAAGACATCTATATCACTCCTTCCAAAACTCAGTCATCACTGAAGAGGCAGAAAGAATAATGGAGAAGAAGGATGTGGAACAATATCTTCTTGGTCTTACATGATTATTTCACTCATGAAATTATTGCAACTGTGGTTTTTTGCACAAGATTGGGCCTGTTAATCTTTACACATGGATAGTGTTTGGGGCTCATGGGGATCACTTGCTTGGGGATCTATTGATTATTGACAGATGTATGTTGAGGGAGGGGGAGTCATTTGGTTCAGTGGTATAGACAATGGTTGAGTCTCCTATGTTTCAATGGCTAGTTACAAACCCCCAGGCATGTATATATTATGTGTATCAGTAGGCTACAAAACAAAATGACATGAAATCAGGAGAAGGACTTTTAATGAGAAAGGGGAGAATTAGAACAGATGGGAAGCAAATCAGACAGGGTAAGGGTAGATGTAATCAGAATGTATTTTATAGATACAAGAAATTGTCAAGGAATAAATTTAGGTTTCTTTTAAGTATCCTATGACAACCACAAACCAGTTAATATATAACTGAAGTTAAGGGATGTACCAAGGAGGTCCCACTACTCCATGAGGAACTATTGGGCAGTTAATGATAGCTGGGGCAGAAAGTATAATTTTTTTCAGTGGAATAGCAACTGTTAAGTTGCCTGAACTACCCACCACTGATATGAATTGTAGAATGCAGAAGGTTCTAATGAGTATCTTCTACACTTAGTTGAAAAGACAACACCCAGGTCTTTCTTACACCCTGGCTTTTCTCATGGAATTCTTTCCTGTGTACACAACCTCCACCACACAGACATCAGGCAAGACCAGTCTAAGCTTCTTTTATTGAGTCTTTAGCAGATCCTTTTATCCTAAACAGTGTGAATGTCTCTGCAGATAGGTAAATTAAACACATTAAGGAAAATATTGTATATTTTGCTATCTACAGAATGTTTATTTTAATATTATATACAAAGTAAAGATTCATAGATCTTAATTAAAAACAAGAACAGAATGCTAGGTATAGCATTGTTACATTCTTTTCTTGTTGCCTTTGTTTTTTTCTCATAAGTTTATTAATATCATAAGTGGGGTGATTTATTTTGGTTTATCTTGGATGCATATTCCCTGTGCATATGGTGCACAATTGCTATATTTAAACAAATCAAATCTGGTTGGACATAAGACATTAATTCTTTCAGTAATACTCAGAAAAAAATATATCAAAGAAAAACTGAATCTTCATGAGACGATTGCTTGCACCAAGTAAAAAACATGGAATTCCTAGCCTAGACCATTCGAAATGGCATTCCATAGAAGAGTAAGTTTTAGGAAATAAACAGAACTCAATGAGAGAGGACCTGAGGTAGAGAAAAATGGATAATGTTATTTAATGTCCAAATATTCATCACTTTGCAATTTTTAACAATTAAGATGACTTCTACTATCTTCATTGGATGATGGAAAGGTTCCCACAAAGCTCAGTGAGAAATGACCCAGTTTCCAGTACTTGGGAATAACAGTGATTAAAATGTGTAATAAGAGCTCTGATATTCCTCTCCGCTGGGTATACCACACCCAAAAGATGCTCATAAAAGCAATGATCTAGTTATTAAGTCTATACACTGACTAATGTTACAACCACCACAATGCTTTATTGTAAACACTGTCTGCCGTTGCTACAAAATTTACTCTGTAGTTCTAATATAACAGCAAACAAGTTAACTATAACAGTGTGTGAGTATGGGCCTGCCAGCAGCACACAACTTATGGAATGGCCCTTCCAACTATAGCTAAAGTGAGCTCTTTCTCTGAAACTTTATATCACCAACAAAATGTAATTTGTTTAAAGTTAGGAAGACCAAAAATAAGAATGGTAACCGGTTATTTAGATGAAATTAGTAGTCTGTGTACCTAATTTATGTAAGCAAAAGCCCGAAGAAGGCATGTTGGCATGTTTAGGATCAGTTAATTCGATGCTGATGCTGGTAACCTAGACAACACTTCTTTCATAATAACAAAGCCTATGTTTTCAACCAATAACTTCCCAGCTTTAAAGTGCAATAACAAAACATGTGAGTTGTGTTAGTTAATTAGTATATGTTAATTACTTAATTTTTTCTGGCCCTTTCAAAACAAGAGAAGCACAGTAAATTGTTTTAAAATAAACTCAAATCATGTCAGGTCACATCCAGACAAAGTTCTACACATCCTCCCAGAAGGCATGCACACCCAAGCAATAAAAACACTAGCAGGAACTCATTTTCCAAGCAGGCAGTGGGAGGATGAGTGATGGTCCTTTGAAACTACTCATGGCAAGTGGTGCCATAACCTGATTTTTCGTTTAACACAAGGTTATTATAAATTAACAGTTACTTTAGTCATTCCTTCTCAGGAGCAGCATTGAATTCATGAGAGCATCAGTGCTTGTCCAGATAAACCTCAGTCTTCTGGGTTCTCAGAACAAATAGAAAATGATCCAACGACTGGAATAGTGCAAAATAAATACACATTATCACTTTTAATGTTGTATAGGGGTTAAATAATTCACTCAAAAGCAATGACTCAGGATGGGGAGATCGATCAGTGAGTGAGTGAAGGAAGTGCCTGCTACATGAGTACGGGGACCTAAACTAAGATCCCTAGAATGCACACGCAAGAGTGGCGTGAGTCCGAAAGAAAGCCCAGTGGTGGGGAGGCAGATGTAACTGGAACCTTGGAGATCACCAACCAGTCAGACTAGGCAGCCTCAAAAACTCAGGTGGAGATCGATTGAGGAAGACATTCAACATCACCCTTGGGCCTGCCTACTTACATACACACACACACACACACACCACAAACAACAAGTTTTCTTTCAGCAGGCAGCTTACAAAGTACACAATACAGTTTGTAGCACATAGTTGGTTTTTATCTAAAATTTCACCTCAAAGACAATCAAAGGATCTCACTGTAAAGAACCCTTGAGTCAACAGTAAAACCACATGCTCTTCAGTTCTCCGATCATTCTATCTTCTCCACCCCTGGATGAAACAACAGTGCAATCTTTCCTTCAAAGTAGAAGACATGAGATTTTTCTGCTTTTAGATTGCATCCTCAGCATTAAGCCCGAGTTCCCAAATTGCCAATAAAACCAGGGAGTGTTTAACCAGATCTGTGGTCTGCTGTTCCATTGATTGCATTAATCAATGGCCTTAGGGATTCAACAGACAAAGATGTGGTCCTGCTACTCCATCGCATTACAGCATCTCACCGATAAGATTTGTATCCTAACAAATACTTGAATATTGGAAGTCTTCATAAATCAAGAACTTGTATATAAGATTTAAACATTGAAATACTTGAAATACTTTAAACTTCAGATAAGAACTATTATCATGAAAAGACAAAGTATTGGTTGTTTCTTTAACTCAATTGAAAACCTCAATCTTTTCATAAATTTGATTACATAAGGTGCCACAGACAAATACAGTTTTGTATTTACTCCATGTTGTGCTTATAAGAAACTTGGCTGTGATATTTATAGCCTGAAGTAATAATACAAAGCTTTCTAAAGCAATTCAAAGAGACCAAAGTTTTGCTAGTATCAAGGGAGTAAGTAAAAACACTTACTCCTTTTAAAAAGAACTCATGATGTCTGTCTCTGTTTGGTTTGTAAGCATTTTAGTGAGACTCTTTAAACCTATGTTCATCAGGGATATTAGCCTATAGTTTCTTTGTTGTTGTTATTGTTGTGTTTTTATCTCATTTGGTGATTATAATAATAATGTTATTGGGAAAAATATGGAATGCGTCATAAATTTCTATGTCATCCTTGCTCTAGGCCTGTGATCTACTGTGTAGTTGCAATTTTAGTATACATGCTGCTTAAGCAAGCACGTAATTGAATTATTTCACCCGAAGAGATGACAAGAGGAGGTAAGCAATCTAGCAAATTGTTATCTGCTTTGTTTCTCATTGGGCAAGAGTATAAAAACAACACAAAAGACAAAGGATAAACTGTTAGAGTCCAGTGTAGTTCACTGAGCTTTCTGTAGCATGAAAAGTAATTTAATTTCTTATCTATACATTTTTCTAATGGCTGCGTCTGCTTTTTCATTTCTTTCATTATCCAATGTTATAGAGATCAAATAATTTAAAACTACTTTGTTCCCCCTTTAACAATATTTATTTGGTTATTGCTCCAAATATAACCTTAAAAACTAAACATCTTTTGTTCTACTCACACAACTTGATTTTTTTTTTCCATTCTTTCTAAAACTCTCTCTGGCACTAGATATTTGTTGGAAAGTAATAAGGGGAACATATCATACATGAATTTGCCTTATTTGTGAATATAAAACTTCTAAATAAAAAGAAATCAACTTGATTGTCTTTTAGACAAAAATTAAAAATAACCAAATCAGATCCTTTAAAGGGAGACTGCTCATTCGTTCCCAATAGCTCAGACCCTAAACATTCACACAGAAACTATATTAATTACAACACTGCTTGGCCTGTTAGATTAGGCTTCTTGTTAATTAACTCTTACATCTTAAATTAACCCATTTCTATTCATCAAAGTATCACCACAAGGTAATGGTCTACCAGTAAGAGTCCAGTCTCTGTCTTCTTCAGCAATAACATACATCTACTGACTCTGCTTTCTTTCTCCCTGCATTCAGTTTAGTTTTTTCACCCAACTTTATTCTGCCCTTCCATAGGTCAAAGCAGCTTTTTTATTAAGCAATGGTAATAAAATATATTCACAGCATACAGAGGGGAATCCCACATCAATATCCCATTAAATTTACCAAGTTAGATACCTTTGGGTGTTTTCTGGATTCTGGGTCTTAAAAAGTCAATCATAGCTAATACAAAGAGTTTTTTATTCCTTGCTATCCTTGAAAAGTCATATTATTTCTCTGGTAGTGTTTCCTTGTTTCTTCTCTATCTCAGGAGGATATACTCCATAAACTGTACAAGAGACATGAGCTTCTGTAGAAAACTTCCAGAGACGCAAGAAACACCCAAATTTAGACAGAAGAAACACACATGCCAAGTAACTATGCCTCAGCATTGAACCAAGGAAAAATTAACTACTGCAAAATGGAGACACACATGCCTAGAAATACTTACAAAAAACCTCATAGTAAGAGGAAAATAAACAGGCAAGTTCAGTAAGTAATATAAATAGGATAGAGTGGATCATCATGAATCCTCTTGTTTCCTTTTGTAACGTCTACTTTGTCATGATTCTATTTCATGGCTTCCAACATGCAGGACCTATTTGGGATCACTTACAGTTTCTTATGACCTGTAGGGGATTGGTTATGTATATTTTTTTTTGTATCTGAACCTCAACCCTTTTCATTGTTGGGCAATGTTCCATTGTACACAAAAGTATTTACCCACATGTCAACTTCCAGAAACTAGCTTTTTCCATATGTTGTCTATTATAAACAGTAATTCTATGCTCATGCACAAGTTTTTAGGTAGACATGTGTTTTGTTTTGTTTTGTTACTCAAACATATCAAAGAACTCTATTGTTGGGTTATGTAATCCACTTTTGTGTTTTGCCTTTTAAGAAATTGCCAGGTTATTTTCCAAATATCTGTACCAGTTTTATTTCCCTCACATTGTGTGAGCATCCTAATATCCCCATATCATCAGCAACCCTGTCACCTGAATGTTCACCCTGAATTATGTACAAGGTGACATCATATGGAAATGATGTAGTTTACATTTGTATGATGGCTAATGTCATCACACATCTTTCCTGTGTTTTTTAGCCGCTTGCACATCTTCTCTGGGGAAGTAATTATTCAATCCTGAGGTCCATGTTGAAGTCACATTGTTTTTCATTGTGGAAGTGAAAGATTTCCTCATCCATTCTGTACTCAGTCATGAGCTATATGGTTGGCATTTTCTTCCATCTTCTGGTTTGTTCTGAGCATGTTATTGAAAACCAATGCCTTTAATTTTGACAATGTTCAATGTATAAATATTTTTCTTTTGTTATGTCTACTTTTTAACTATAATAAAGTTTTTACCTAAAAGTCATAAAGATTTATTGATATATTTTTACAAGAGATGCATGATTTTAGATCTTATATTTAGGTTTATGACCAATTTAAAGTTAGTGTTTCTACATAGTCAAAACAAAGAATCAGACTTTATTCTTTTCATAGGATATTGAATTGTACAGACACCACTTCTTGGATTGAATATTTTTATATCTATAAAAAGAGCACACTGGTATTCACAAATTATTCACTGTGTGTGCATTATGGAGGATTCATTAATGTCTTCTTATACTTTATGCTTTTTAATCATTCAATTTTTCTTTAATATTTCTTAATGAATATTTTATTTGTGCAAAGAACTAAAGATAAAATTCATAATTCTTTGAAATTAACTTGTGGTATTAAAGTAAAAAATATAATTTTCTTACCCTTAAATGCATAAAACAAGTCTGAAATAATTAATTCTGCAATAATTAATATACTGAAATAAGAAAAGATTAGAAATGAAGAAGTCATGTTGAAACAGTAGTCATCCACACAAGAGATGAAACTTGAGTTAATGTAAAAATAAAACAAATATTTTTGCAAAGGTTTTTGTATAAAAATCTATAAAATCAAAATTCATATAACAAAAATATTGCCATAAACTTAGTTTATTAAAAAAAATGGAGCTATCATTTGTTGGCGCATGTGGTGTGGCTAAGGCCAGAGCTTACATCTTGTTCACCTCTGGTGAACAAGAAAAAAGCTTAGATGTAAGCTCTGGCCTTAAACAGGTTCCTCTTAGAAAGGACTCCAGGTTCATGCTCAGTACAAACTTAGAGTTTGTGCCCATTCAACTTCATCGGTATAATAATTACTCCTTAAGCTGTGGCAAAAGCAGCTTGTAAAGAGATTATAGGAAAATGAACCAACTGGTGAAAATATAAAGAAAAAGAAAAAAGCAGCTCTCGTGTTTGACATCATATGCACAAGCATTCGTTGTTGAGATAACATATGCAGTGAAATTCATTGCATATTGGATATTTTCCAAAGTTTAAGAAAATGTCTTCCATTTTCCTACTAATAATTTATCTTTCATATGCAAACTTTCATTTCATTTTTACTTCTGTACGGTTTACTTTCCTAAAGAGTTTTCTACCCTTATTTATAATGTATGAACTGTATTTTAAAGGTGAACATTGTACACGGCTTAGAAAAAGAATTAAAAATATTCTATTCAGAAACTGCTACAACTGAAGTCATAATGGACTCGCTGAATGCATACCCATAACTTAATAGATTGGTCAGTGGACAGTGATGTGTCTGGAAGGAGACATTGCTAAAAACAGGGAAGAAGACTGCCCAGTTCTTAGATTTACCTCTCAAAGTAGACCATTGCTTCTGGATATTCATAGTTCTTAAATATGACCTAGTGATAAATGGTTTAATGCTATCATAAAGATTTTTGTAAACACAAATAGAAAATAATGTCCTTTGGGATGAATTTAATTACACATATCTAAAAATTTCAACATAAACAACAGTGAACTGGTATAGGAGGTCCTTCTGTACATGTGTTGTTTTCATTGATTAATAAAGAACTGCTTTGAGCCTATGGCAGGAAAGAACAGAACTAAGCGAGGAAAAGCTAGGCTGTATTCTGGAAGGAAGAAAGCAGAGTGAGGAGAGACACCATGGATTCGCGGGAGACAGATGCTGGGAATTCTACCTGGTAAGCCACTGCCACGTGATGATACACAGATTAGTAGAAATGGGTTAAATTAATATAAGAGCCAATAAGAAGCTAGAGCTAAGGGCCAAGCAGTGATTTAATTAATACAGTTTCTGTATGGTTATTTCGGGAGTAAGCTAGCAGGGCAGTCAGGATGAACAAGCGGTCCCCTTCCTGTAACAGTATACAGAGAGCGAGGTCAGAACTGTTGATGGCACAAGGTATGGTAAGTTTCTCCATAGGCTAAACCACTCAACTGGAACAGCAGGTTGCCTGCCTCTGTCCACAAACAATAAGGAGAAATGTAATAAAGTCAACACAGCCATCCTAAAATTCATCACAGACTAGAATTTAAAGCATAAAAACCAGAAAGTCAATCATCTATAAAAATGTGTGAAATATTTAAGGACATTGTGGTCAGTGGAGTCACCATAGCCAGAGGTCTAGAGACATAGCATGGCCCTGTCTAGTCACCACCACATCCAGAGCCCCATTCCTGGATCCTGTGTCAATCACAGGCCTGGGCAAGGTCATGTCCACAGGCCACATAGAACTCTACAGAACTGAATAGCATGAGGTGAGCAGGTGGGTTCCCACCCCACTGTAAGGAAATGTTGAGTGACATGCCAAGGTCAAGGGTCTCTTCTTCAGTGAGTGACGCACGTGCTCTTCCGACACTGTCTTCTCCCTACCCCTCAGCTTGTGTAGCAGGCTCTCATTAGATCATGGGTCCTTAAATTTTACTTTGTCACAGCAGTGAAGGAATTTTTTACAAACTTGTTTCTCCCAAAATACATCTTCAGTTAAAAGTATGAAGTTGTGTTTATAAACACAATCCACAATTTCTACCACAAATAACAAGCAAAGCAGGACCTACCAGAAAGGAGAAGGTGCCAGGTGAGTAATCAGCCCTATGGATGTGCTTACAACAAACCTTTTGCCTCTTTGGTCTTCCTGTTATTTTTCCTGAAACCAAAAACTCATCTTTCTTGAACACTGACATGGAAGTTATGCCATGGTTTATGCATAAAGCCACAGAAGCACAACTATGCCTGTGTCTCCCTGCTTTCAAAATAACTTACAATTGGGGCTTAGGTCACAACTACCATTAATATAGAGTTAAACTGCTGAAAAAGATTATCAGCATGTGTATCAAAAA